TTCCTTGTACGTAACAACAACTGGGTGGTGGCTGTGGTGGTGGAGATGCAGCGGCGCGTGGCGCTTAAGTACACCGTTGGTGAAAGGCGGCGCCTTTAATACTGGCTGGATCCGGGTCGGAGTCTCGGTTTCAGCTTCCGGAGTTTTCACTGTAGTAGTAGAATTCCCCAAATCCATGGCTGATTAATTAAACCAACATCCAAAGAATTAAATCTAAAAGTATAATTTGATTAGAGTGAGAGTTAGGGTTTGTAGGGTAAAAGAAGAATCTTTAGCCATATAAATAAATTAGCATTGAAAGAGAGAGAGAAAGAGGAGAGAGAAGAGTTTAGAGAGAGAAAATGGGTTAATGTGTTTGGGGAAGATGATAATGATGATGATGATGATGATGGGAGAGAAGAAGATGGGACTGTAGATAATAAAAATCTTTGTTATGTGGTTGTCCTTTCTTAACCACCCACACTTTTCTTATTTTAATTTTTTAACCTGGGTTCTCAGTTTTTAATCAATCTCTAGTTAACTTTTTCTAAGTAATTTCTGCTGCTACTGAATACTCATAGATGCTTTGCTCATGTCTATTAAATTTTAATAATTTACCTCTTTCACCGCTTTGTTTTTTTACTATTACCGTATGTAGTACGATTTTGATTAATTAGCGTCTTTTTCCCAGATTTTTCAGACCATATTTGACTTCTTCTAATCATTGTATTTTTTTAATATTATTTTTCTCAATTCAATATTTTTTTTTTAAATATTTTAATTGCGATAATATTATTAAAACAAAAAAAAAGTTGAAATAATTAAGCTGGAAGTACAGGGTCGGGTCAGATTTTTGCATATATATATTTACAAAAAACAGAGGTTGACGTACAAAAATAAAACAAGGCAGGTTTTTGTGCAGGCCCTGCTGTATTTACTGTACCCACCTTAATCTTTAATTTGTCAAACTTGTCTGAAACACACACACACACACTTAACCTCACTTCTTTCTTTTTCTTTTTCTTTTTTAATATTTATTTAATTTTTGCAAGTATAATTTATAACTTATGTGGGACGACATAATTTTAACCCTGTACGCTAATTAGACTTAGTCGACAACATGGTCTTAATATAATTACATCTGATTATCATAATTCATCTACACATGATCTACTAAACATTCTATCAAAGTATCTACAAAGTACGATCGACCTGTAATTTTAATTTCTTCGATTAGTCCGATGTAACTAAAATTATTTCTTTCTACATTCTTGAAGAATACTCCATATTTCTGCAATCGTGGTTCGTTATTACATCGCTAAATTATATTAATTCGAATCAATTTTGTCGGATTCCATAGAATTTTGAGAAGTAGAAGCATTTCGTTTTGTGTGAATAAAATATAATTATTCCTAACTACTGCTTGCATGGGCGAAACATAGAAGGAGCAAGGGGCTGTTGACCCCCGAGATAATTTTTTTTTTTTAAAGATATTTGGACATTGTATTTTTCGAATATTATTTATAGTTCACTAAAGTTTTTGTAAATATGTGTCTTAATCCTTCAATTTTTTTGTTCTTCTCCATAATTTAATATAAATTATATATATATCATATTTCATATTTCATATTTAAAATATAAAATAAAAGGATTAAAACTGGTATTACTTTAAATAAAATTTATGAATATTTACTTATTTTTTTTATCTTTCTTTATCAATGACTCTAAAAAGTAATGTGAGACGATGCCATGAATCCCCAAATATTAAGTACAATACATTATTAGAATAATTTGGATTAATTTAGATTTTTTCGTCATGCTTAAATTATGATAAAATTATAATATACATGTCATTTTAATTAAAATTTATAAATATAAACTTATTTTTGCAATGTCTTGTGAACCTAACAAATTTTTTCTGCCCAAACCCCGAAATTTTAGTTAGCCCCCCTAGTCCCCTACATTTTAATCCTAGTTTCGCCCTGGTATTATATTTAATTAGCTGAAGAGAGGAATTACTATAATCTGTTTATGATCCCTATTTGAAGTGTAAAAATTAAATTAATAAGCTTGACGTACAATCTTTTGGAGCTTAGTGCATGCTTTCCTGCATGTTTAGTGATTAAATAACGCTTATTTATGTTCTAAGCATCCTTAAATATACAGCCACGTGTTCGCATGGGTAATCTCTCTGCTCACACACGTGTGTTCTCTTATTTTGCTTCCTTTATGAAAAAATATTACACAATTCAATCTAATACGATACATTTGGTATTCTAACATGGTATTAGAGTGATATCGTTGGTGATCTTTCGGTGTTTATCCACTTTTCGCTCGATTTTTACCGAGATGGAAAATGCCTTAATAAAAATCCATTTTGATTTGTCATTGCAATCTTGCTATAGTGTTTCTTCTTATTCATTGCGCTTCCACAGTAAAAGAAAACACTATAAATTATTGCTCTTATTTGTCGATGCAGCCTTATTTTTTGTGCTTACTAGAAAACACTATAAATAAGTGTTTTTTGAATTAATGCCAAACCACATAGTTCCTTGTTTCACATAAAAACAACAAAGCATGATATAAAATTTGTTGGGCTTAACATATTTAATGGGCCTAATAACTTGATGGGCTCAAATATTATATAAATCATCGTCGCTCTCTATATATAGGTGATTTACAATTAAAAAAAATAAAAAAAAAAAGAGCAATAAATTGAGAAAATAATACCTAAATCAAAAGATGAAAAACTACAACACTATGAAAATTATTTGAAAATAAAATGTAAAGAAATCCTTGGCTAGGAAGAAGTAAGTAGAAATGTCCAAAAATGACATTACATATAAATTATATTTATGTGTTATTTAAGCCCATACCCCCTACAAAATGTTCATGCATCTATAATTCGTATCTGATTTTGTAGCCTGAAAAATAAATAATTTATGATGGACCTTTATAAACAATAAGGCCCAATATTGGAATTTCCAGATCCAGGTTTAGTATATGGTTGTGGAACTAGCCCATTTAGTGGTGTCTAATTTTTTTTTTTAAATACGATCGATCAAATCTATTATCAACGATTTTCAGGGCAAACTTGTTTTGCATAACTTATGTTCGGCTGTGTATTCCTTTTATGAAATATTTTTTAAGACTGTAATAGGGTCATCCTCAAACTATAACATATAATACTATTAATTGTGTTGTTTGCAATTATATTATTGTTCGAGAACGAGATTTATCCAGTGGCATGCACGTAATTATGTGTCCCTTGTAGAAAAAATGAAACGTCTTGTAGATAATAGAAGTAGTCGGTGGGTGTAATTACTAATTAGTGAGACAATTAATTAGGTAATTAAGGAAGAAGAATTAATATAAAAAATATACGCAAAGACAAGGAAATATAATGTAAGAAAAAGAGATGGTTGATTGTACAGCTAGCGCAGAACATGCACTTTTGTCCAAAGCATGAAAGCTTGAATCATGTGCTGTGCACATGCATTGGGAGACTCGTTTTCTGCTTAATTCTCCCACTTGATTAGATTTGGTCTTTTATTTATTAAACCAAAATTCAATAAATATTTAAATATTCGTCACAGTCACACTGTTCTTTGATATAAATTTTTCGATCTACTTTGACTTTAATATTCATTTTATTGGGCCCACCCCACAAACTTCCCTAACTAACGTCCCACATGCCCCTGTTTCAGAATTCATGTTCTCTTTCTCTCTCTCTCTCTCTCTCTCATATCCACAAAAGATATTTTCCTTTTTTTATTCGTTAAAGATTAAGATTAGCTGATAAAAGAAATTAATTCCTTTTCTACACTAACAAAATTTTGTTACAAAAAATATTTATCTTTTTTTCGTGACCACCAACAATTCCAAATATGATAAAATCTCGTGACATATTTTGTGGTTTAGACAAAACCAGACCCTCCTAAAATGGTTTACTGTAAAAAATCAGACAGCACACAAGTGTCTGCCTATTCTGGAAAAAAATAAAAAATAAAATGTTATGTAATACTAAAATGTACAAATTGTAATTAGTTAATTTCTGGATCAAATTAGCAAAAGCGTAAGAGATAAGAGAGAGAGAGAGAGAGAGAGAGAGAGAGAGAGAGAGAGAGAGAGAGAGAGAGAGAATGGAGCAATAATGCAGCACTAGAAAGAGATAGTGAAGCATGTGAACTATCTATAATGACTATTTTTGGGTGATATAATTCTCAAAATATAAATTAAATAAAATGGGTGAAAGTGAAATACAACCATCCACCGCTCGAGTGTAAACTGAATGTAATTTCCTAATTGGTTCTACTTCGATCCAATTTTGTAAATATATATTTTTTATTCGAATTTTTTTTTTTTTTTGGCAACGGTTGCAATACATATTTCGTCTTAACTTTGGATCTTATTTAATTTACAAATACTTTTAAAGTGATTTCAATTTCTTTTTAAATTACATGTTTATCGATATTATTACATATTACCGGTGATTGGAAAATCGTAACTCCCCATTTCACCTATAATTAAAAAAATAGATAATATGTTTTCATTTCAGTTTATGAAATTTTGATTTTGTTAAGAAAGAAACCGAAATTAGTTTTTCACTTTTCAAAATTAAAATTTATACCAAAGTATACAGAATTTTCATCTTCATTTATTTATCAGCATTAAAAAAAAAAACAGGTGGGACCCACAAAACGGCCCCACCTAACCATAGTAACCTCTATTTATAGCCCCCCACAATCATCCCAACACCCTACACCAAAGAGAAGAAACCCCCCCTTCCTTCTTCTTCACTCTTCAATCAAAAAAAAAAGAAAAAAATGGCCAAGTTATTTGCGTTTTTACTTATTGCACTCATCGCCATTACCATGCTCGAGATACCTGTGAGTATTAGTGTTTGTTTCTTACAATGCATTGATAATACCATGATCTTGTCTTTAAAATTAAATGTCAAGTAATTGTTCTTTTTCTGTATCTATCTTATAACTTAGGTCATGGCTTCTCTGGACGGCGGCATTCAAGCTAGCAAGGTTCCATTTTTAATCCACATTTTCAATTTCTTCATTTTTATTTCACCTCTGAAAAATTAATGTATATATACATACAGATCCGATATGGCCCTGGCAGTGTGAAGAGCTTCCGTGAGTATTCAAAATCTTTTTATTTTTAATTTATTTTTATTTCATCTGATCTAGTCAGGGTTTGTTTGGGGAGGAGGTGAATATGAATATTAAATACTAATTATTAATTTGCGTGTGTGGGTGTGGAATGACCAGAATGCCCCTCGCAGTGCACGAGGAGATGCAGCAGAACACAGTACCACAAACCGTGCATGTTCTTCTGTCAAAAGTGCTGTAGAAAGTGCCTGTGTGTGCCCCCGGGGTATTATGGTAACAAATCTGTTTGCCCTTGCTACAACAACTGGAAGACCAAGGAAGGAGGCCCCAAATGCCCTTGATTCTTCTTCTTCTTATTATTATTATTAATCAGCACTACTATTAATTAATTAATCCTGAATTATGTTGGATTAGTGGTGCTAATTCTAATCATAGAGAGCTATAGAGATGAAATATGTAATATGTTCTCTCTTTTGTGTCTTTGGTTGTTTGTTTGCTGGGTCGTCTAATGGTTATTTTGATGTTTTCCTGTATTACAGTAATTACTAGTATGCCACTCCTTTATTTATTTATTATGTTCAATTTATGATTAATGTTCAATTTCTAGCAAGATTTCTTGTCGGAACTATGATCTGAAATCTAATGTAAATTAATATTAAAGATCTGATAAAAAACACCCAAAGATGAAAACTCTGCTAAATTACTACTAGAGTATTTCTTTTCATGGAAAACTGAACAGAGAAAAGATATACTATAGTCTATATAGACTGTTGTTTCATTGATTGAATAGGTAAAGACATTATCGGGTGCAAATTGGAATGAAATTTTGGCCCGCATGGGTGTAGCTCAACTTGTTCCGGAAGTAGTAAGTTGGTGCAAGGTCCTAGGATCGAATCCTGGCAGCCGCAGTGTGGGAATTTCAACTCCAATGAGGGTTGGTTCCTTGTGGGCACCAGGTACGGGTCCGCTACCTGGAGGGATTCCGCCTTTTGGTGCATGGAATGAAATTTTGAGATTCGCCTATTTCGATCAGAATATTATTCAACGTCGGACTCCCAATTCGAAAGTTACAATTCCGATTTTTGAAACCTTTTTGGAACATATATGTAAAACATATTTAATTCCGAATTTTGATCCGATTTTACTTTCCGAAAAATCCAATTTTTTCATACTATAGGTGACTAAAAAAGGACTTTTAGCTCGTAGACCCCTTTTGTTGGGTTTGATATACAATTTAGTCCCTAGTACTTTACTTTGAACACACTAAACTCCCCCATTTTAAGTTTGGCTTACAATTTGCTCCTTACATGCTCTAAAATGTCTGGAATGCCCCTCACCTTCTATCATAATTACAACTACATTTCAGTTCCACTTAAAAAAGCTACTAGGCTTAAACACGTGTTTTAAAAAATCTATAATTTCTTTTGAACGAAATTGAAATTACTTTTTTCACTCGGAAAAAAATATAAAAGTTTTTCGAGAGTGATCCAACCCTTCTGATTTCCATCCCTACTCGTTACACAACCGTTTAACGTACCCAAATAATCTTAAAAGAGTCGGATTCCAGGTTAGTTCATTATCAAAAACAAAAAAAAGACTTATCAAATCAGTTATCTCATTTGAAAATTATCAAATGAAAAAAAGAAATTATCAATCAGAAAATAAAATATTTCATATAAACTATTAAAAGCAAGGCTTCTTATTTGACGGCCCAGTTATTTTACCGTGCGGCCCAAAACTAATTACTGGTCCAAATCGAACCGACCCATTTTCAAAATCAAAGCCGAAAATTCTATTTTCCCGCCCAAACATTTGCCCGTTTGAAAGTTGTCTTTCCCCTTTCAGACTTTCCATAAATCCTTATACATTGATAATGGCGGTGTTAGTGTAGGAGTTGTGGGCATTACGCAGGGGACTACTAGTAAGAAAAGATAAAGAAACCAGTTTGTCGAAAACGAAAGAGGGAGGATATCTACAATTATTCAATCGCAGCTCGTGATTGACGGGGGGATAGAGATGGAATCGACGGCAACCGCCGCCGGCGAGTTCGTGCCTGAGTCTACTCAGCCGGCGTCCCGAGCTCCTAGGCTATTTATTAAGGAGATGGTGATGAAGAATTTTAAATCTTATGCGGGCGAACAGCGCGTTGGCCCTTTTCACAAGGTTAGGGTTTTCTTTAATTTTATTGAAAATTATTTCAATTTTTGAATTAAACATGCTTACGGGATGTACAAGAAATTAGAGCATAAATCCATAGTTGATTGCACTGATCTTAAATCATCTTTTAAGAGAAATCGCTGTTTTCAATTTCTAGAGTTTTTCTGCTGTGGTTGGTCCCAATGGAAGTGGGAAGAGCAACGTCATAGATGCCATGCTTTTTGTGTTTGGAAAGCGAGCTAAACAGGTATTTATCTCCTTCAAGATACTGATAATTTTTTCGTTATTAATTTCGATAATTTGATGCACTTAAAATTGGGTGCACTATAGAGTCTGGGGATTTTCTTTTCTCTAGTAAAAGGGCAGGGGAAATGACGTATACAAGTGATGTCAGATGATTAATGTTTTGATACAATTTTATTAAACGCGCAGATGAGGCTAAATAAAGTGTCCGAGCTTATTCACAACTCCACGAACCATCAGAATTTGGACAGTGCTGGTGTATCAGTCCACTTTCAAGAGATTATTGATTTGGTATGTTTTCAATGGGATTTCATTACTGCTATCGAGGTGTATTTTCAGGAATTTTATTATTACTCCTGACTTTTACGTGCTTATAGGACGGTGGGGCTTATGAAGTTGTCCCTGGAAGTGATTTTGTGATCTCACGTGTTGCCTTCCGGGATAATTCATCTAAGTATTATATCAACGATAGAGCTAGTAATTTCACAGAGGTCACCAAGTTGTTGAAAGGGAAAGGCGTTGACTTGGATAACAACCGCTTTTTGATTCTTCAGGTTTCAAATAACATATATGTTTAAGCTCGTTTAGGATATATATGGTTAGTGGGTATTTGTAGTTTCTGTGGTTTTAATACAGAGTTTGTGTTTCTTCAGGGTGAAGTGGAGCAAATATCGCTTATGAAGCCGAAAGCACAGGGGCCACATGATGAAGGCTTTCTTGAATACCTTGAGGATATAATTGGAACTAACAAATACGTCGAGAAGATTGATGAATCATTTAAGCAGTAAGTATTCGTTACTTACATAATATAAACAGTTAAACCAATTTCTAATTCCTGTCACCCGTGCAGGCTGGAAGGGCTTAACGAAAAGAGGTCTGGTGTTGTTCAAATGGTTAAGTTAGCTGAGAAAGAAAGAGAAAGCCTCGAAGTAAGATTATACAATCGCTTGCTAATATTGTATTTGTTTTGATATGTGCAGTGCTAAAGGACTTTTACATTTATAATCTTGATTTAACAGGGTGTCAAAAATGAAGCAGAAGCTTTCATGCTTAAAGAATTGTCACTTTTTAAATGGCAAGAGAAAGCTACTAATCTAGCATCTGAAAATAATTTGGCTCAGATAGCTGAACTGCAGGCAACTGTTTCAAGCCTAGAAGAAAATGTAAAGATTGAAAGGTGATTTTATTTGGACCAGTTAACTCTTCGATGAAAAAGAGGCCGCCTTTTATAAATTAGTTTTATTTTACAGGGAGAAAATTCGAGAAAATTTAACAACATTAAACGAACTTGAGACTTTGCATGCGAAGTATCGGAAGAGATATGAGGTTTGCACTTTATATATATATATATATATATATATATATATATATATATATATTTCTGATGGATGCATATGTATGATATGTAACATTGGAAGTGGTTCTATTTCTTATACATATATATAATTTTTTTTTGTGTGGGGAATATAGGAACTAGATGGTGACCTCAGGCGTTGCAAGGATGAATTTAAGGAATTTGAAAGGCAGGATTTGAAACATCGGGAAGATTTTAAGCATTTGAAGCAAAAGATTAAAAAGCTTGATGATAAAATTGAAAAGGTAGGAGGAAAATTATCCTAAATTAGGTGGTACTGTTCTTCGTTCTCTTGATTATAATTTCTAACTATTTAGTCATTCTTGATTTGAATTAATCCTTTCTTCCGCAACCCTTCAGGATTCAACTAAAATTACTGATCTCACAAAAGAGTGCGAAGACTCTACAAATTTGATTCCTCAGCTCGAGGAAGACATTCCTAAGCTACAACAACTTTTAGTGAATGAGGAGAAAATATTGGATGAAATTAAGGAAAATTCTAAAGGTATCTCTCACTACTTGAAACCTTTTTTTTCTTTTTCAATAATGTTATATCTTACGAAAACTAATGAATATTTATTGTCTACTTTGTCCCTAACAGCTGAAACTGAAGTTTTTCGTAGTGAGCTTGCTGATGTTCGTAATGAACTAGGACCCTGGGAAAAGCAATTGATTGAACATAGAGGAAAACTCGAAGTTGCTTCAGCTGAGAAAAACCTTCTAACTAAAAAGGTGAGGACGTTAAGTTAATCTAACTACTATCAATGATTTACATTTTGTGCCTTGTGCAGCTGCCTTTTTTTTTTTTTTTTTTTTAACTTTTACCTTCTGTACTGATCGTTAATATCCTTATTTCAGCATGAAGGTGCTCGTGCTGCTTATGAAGATGCACAGAAGCAAATTAGTGAAACTAACAGAAGCATTGAGACAAAGACTTTAAGTGTAAAGGATACTCAAAATAAGCTAGAGAAACTCAAACTTGAAGCATCCGAGGCTCGTAAAACAGAGAAAGTAAGCCGTTATCATAACAGTTCTGCATACATGCAATTATGCACTTTTGATTGCTAAACATTGTGAGTGATGCTGAAAAATTGCAGGCGTGCCTTGAAGAACAGGAGAGGTTGATTCCTCTTGAACAGGCTGCAAGACAAAAGGTTATGGAGCTTTCATCTGTTATGGAATCTGAAAAGAATCAGGGATCTGTCCTAAAAGCAATACTCCAAGCTAAGGAATCAAATCTTATCCCAGGAATATATGGCCGAATGGGAGACTTAGGAGCCATTGATGGTGAGCGCACCTCTGTTTAGTTTTAGTATTTAATGCTAATTTGTTAAACTGGCTTGTTTATTTTTTCTAATATACCAATACTTTTCCCTGCAGCAAAATTTGATGTTGCTATATCAACAGCATGCGCCGGACTCGATTATATTGTTGTGGAAAAAACTGCTGCAGCACAAGCGTGTGTTGAGTTACTACGCAAGCAAAACCTTGGTGTTGCAACTTTCATGATTCTGGTAGATTAATGTTTCAACTTTGGCTGCTTTCGACATGATCTAAATATTTAAGCTTAAAGAGTTGTTTGTGATTGCTTGTAGGAGAAACAAACTAATCATCTGCATAGATTAAAGGAAAAAGTTGTCACGCCTGAGGGTGTTCCACGTCTATTTGACTTGATCAACGTTCAGGATGAGAGGATGAAACTTGCTTTTTATGCAGCAATAGGGAACACAATTGTAGCTAAAGATATTGATCAGGTTGGATATTTATATATAAAAATAATAATCTTTTACGTTAGGATCAAACAATCTATGTCTTTTATGTCGTTTATTTATCTTGCTGTTATAGGCAACTCGCATTGCTTATGGTGGGAAAAAAGACTCGTGGCGCGTTGTGACATTAGATGGTGCACTGTTCGAAAAGTCTGGTACTATGACCGGTGGAGGAAATAAGCCACGTGGGGGTAAAATGGGAACGTCTATTCGTGCTAGTGTCTCTGGAGAAGCTGTGACGAATGCTGAAAAGGAGCTTTCTGATTTGGTTGAAAGCTTAAGTGCTGTAAGGAAAAGATTAGCTGATGCGGTAAAGTTTTGCAAGGAATCAGAAAAGGCAATTTCGCCCCTCGAGATGGAGGTGGCTAAATGCCAGAAGGAGGTAGCTCAGACTTTGAGATGATTATTTTTCGTTGTTCGTATGTTTGTAGTTACTAATTACGTTTTTGCCATGACAGATTGAAAGTCTAAAGTTGTTGTTGGTTGATCTTGACAAACAACTATATTCCCTCAAGGCAGCGTCGGAGCCAATAAAGGAAGAGGTGAATAAGCTGAAGGAACTGGGAAAAATCATTTCCTCTGAAGAGAAAGAAATCAATAGGCTTATGCAGGGTTCAAAGGATCTGAAAGAGAAGGTTGCGATTTTACTAACTCCAGTCATTAAAATTGACTAAGAAAATATCAATTCTTACCAACTTTTGCTATTTTGTAGGCTTTGGAGCTCCAGAACAAAATAGAAAATGCCGGGGGAGAAAGGTTGAGAAACCAGAAGTCTAAAGTTGACAAAATTCAATCTGTGAGTACAAGTGATATATGCTAAAAAAATAATAAGTTGAATAGGCACTTTATTTCTCTTAATTGTCAGTTCTTACTATCTGACGGTCTTGCAGGACATCGACAAAAATAGCACTGAGATAAACCGACGCAAAGTTCAAATAGAAACAGGTCAGAAAATGATTAAAAAACTAGTTAAGGGAATTGAAGAGTCCAGAAACGAGAAAGAACGCCTTTTAGAGGAAAAGGAAAAAATAAGTTCCACTTTCAAAGAAATTGAACAGAAAGCTTTTTCTGTTCAAGAGAATTATAAGAATACACAGGAGGTTAGTGCCCATATTTCCATGCATGAAATTGACAGTAATATGAAGTCAAATATATGAAGACGTGCCTAAATAACTGTGCACCTTTTTCTTTCTTCTGTAGATAATAAATAAACACAAAGATGTCTTGGATCAAGCGAATTCTGATTATGAAAAATTGAAGAAAGTTGTGGATGCTTTGCGTACATCTGAGGTTTGCTTTCCGTACATTCTTCAATTGTTTTGTTTGCTTACTGTGTCTACATTAATTTTTTTAACTAATGGTGCAGGTAGATGCTGAGTTCAAGTTGCAAGATAAGAAAAAAGCATATGTAGAGTTGCAAATTAAGGGAAAAGGTTACAAAAAAAAACTTGGTGATCTTCAAGCTGCTCTCTCGAAGCACATGGAACAGTAAGCATTTTGTCCTGATTACAAACATCGAAACTTTTTGTACTTGCCTACCCTATTTAATATTTTCTAATTATGTGTAACAGGATTCAGAAGGATTTAATTGATCCCGAAAAGCTTCAAACGGTATTGACAGATGTAACTCTTGTCGACACAAATGACCTTAAGAAAGCCCTTGAGATGGTGGCACTTCTTGAAGCTCAGTTGAAAGAAATGAATCCAAATCTGGACTCGATCTCAGAGTACGGACGTGTTTTTGGTGATTTAATAAGTGGTATGCTATGCTTAAGAGTGTGGATAGAGATAACGATGTTATTTCTTTTATTAGGTATCGGAAAAAGGTCAGCTTGTATAATGAGAGGGTTGCGGATCTTAATTTAATCACTCAACAGCGTGATGACATAAAGAAGCAATACGATGAATGGAGGAAGAAGAGGTTAATCTTCAACTGTTTGTCTTATAGTGAAGCACTTTTAGCAATACGTTGTGTTCATTTTTATTTTTAATTTTTTTGCAGGTTGGATGAATTCATGGCTGGTTTTAACACAATATCGTTGAAACTGAAAGAAATGTATCAGGTTAAATAATACACTAATAAATTTTAAATCTTTCTTAGGTTATATGCCAATGAACTCTCCTTCAATTATTCTTGAAGTTTATGTGCTTGATTGATGTAGATGATTACATTGGGAGGTGATGCAGAACTTGAGTTAGTCGACTCTTTGGATCCATTTTCCGAAGGTGTTGTTTTCAGTGTCAGACCGCCGAAAAAAAGCTGGAAAAATATTGCAAACTTGTCAGGCGGTGAAAAGGTATTTTAGTACTTAAATCTTGCTCGTTAGCTTCTTGATTGTTCTGCAGCAGTTACTTGATATTACATCTTTGTAATGCTTATATTTCAGACGCTCAGCTCATTAGCACTAGTTTTTGCCCTCCACCACTATAAACCAACTCCGCTTTATGTAATGGACGAGATTGATGCTGCTTTAGGTATGCTCCTTCGATATATGCTGTAACTTTTATTTTTTCCTCAGTTTTTTTTTTTTTTTTTTAAATTCATCCTTATGGCATTGCCTGCAATTTTGTTTCCTCAGATTTCAAGAATGTTTCGATTGTTGGGCATTATGTGAAAGACCGTACTAAGGATGCACAATTCATAATCATAAGGTCGATTCTGCGCAGCCATTTCTTTTATTCAACTTGCCAATAAGTAAAATGTCTCTCAAATATTTAATAGTATTTTCTTTTTCTATTTTTTTTTAAATGCAGCCTCCGGAATAACATGTTTGAGTTGGCCGATCGGCTAGTTGGAATTTACAAAACTGATAACTGCACCAAGAGTATTACCATCAACCCAGGCAGCTTTGTAGTTTGCGAGCAGGTTTCTTAAGTTTCTTGCAAACACCTTTATCTTCTTGTGTATTTATAAAATATCTTTTTTTTTTCGGGTAATCATATTTATTGAATATTTCATACGTAATTTTTTTGCCAGATTCGTCTACTAATTATTTCATATTGTCATCATCTGGCAAGTTAGTGTTGTGACGAACGATGATTAGTTATGTAATCCAATCAAACACGTCGATGAATATTTCAAGTACCTTAACTTTGGTTCCTTTCGTATTCTTCCCTCAGACGGAAGAAAGTTACATATATTTATAAAATAATTATACACACTTCATTATATAATCTGCAACAGTTGCTTCAAATCAGAGATGGTTGAGATTATCGTTTGCAGTTGTTGTTTGTTCGTCATTGCTTCTCATCCTCCGAAGTTTAAATGACAATGAATGCGACGATGTCATAGCACAGGCTGGCTTGTCCGAGACACGAATATAACTATAGGACCATGCACCGGATAATGTACCGCAAACAGGTCCGATTATATATATCCAAACACCTTTGTAGTAATTGCTAGCTATTGCTGGACCTATTGTTCTTGCTGGATTCATTGACCCCCCTGATATCGGCCTGGATTATTTATTCATATCGGTCAATTTCTGTCAAAACTAGTCGCACACCCGTGTGTGCGCGCGTGTGTGTTTGCTTACCCGGCTAAGATTGAAGTGATGCATACGGCGGAGCCAACTGCTATCCCTGCAAGCTCCCCTATCTAATTGAAATGCAAAGTCCAACAAGAATTATGACAATTAAAAGAAAAATGTGAGATTAAAAACAGATGATTTGGTGATGAAGTGGCTGCTGTCGTTTTTTTTTTTTTTTGTTTTTTTGGTTTTTTTCTTACTGCTTTGGTATCAGTTGCAACAGCAGAGGTGATGAACATCATGGAAAAGGTGACAACAATTTCGATGAACAAGGATTGAATGTCTGTTCCAGAAGGTGAAGTTGTGCCCACGTGTTTAATTGGGTGTAATAGAACACGTAGTGTGAATGCAGCAGCTGTAGCTCCTGTTAGCTGTGCTGCTGCATAAAATGGTACCTGTATTTGCATTCTTTTTTAGTTAACTTTTTTACCCATAAACTACAAAAAAGTAAAATAAAATATTCACTGGAATTGAGATAGAGGATAATAATAAGTGAATTTGTGGGGCTGAAAATATTGTTAGAACTGTTTTATTAAATGCAATTTAAGATTCGGGCCCTTGTTATTTAACGTTACAATGGAACCACGTCTTGTCTTTATGTAAGAGAATCGAGGATTTAATGTGACGTTTTGGCCCATCATCATTTTTTTTTTCTCATAATAAATCAACACGCAATCAATCATATGGGTGTACGTAGTAGATAAAATCAATGTAGTAATATTTAAATCCACAGAAAATGAATGTATGAGAAAGTTTAATTAAAATAAGAATGATTAGTTATAAAAGTTAAAGTAGGTAGGTAGGCACCTGATTCCAGGGGAAATGCCTGACGGCGGCGAAGGCAAGAGTGACGGCGGGGTTCATATGAGCACCGGAGATGTGGCCGACGGCATATATCATAACCGTTACAATCAGCCCACCTGCCACCGATGCCCCGAGCTTTGACACTTTGTGCTCGTCGCTCCCACTAATAGTCGCCGTACCACATGTCACAAACACCAGTAGGAACGTTGCTATTATTTCTGCAATTACCTAATTATTCACAACAATTACTTAATAACTTATACAGAATATACATTAATCGTATGTAATTTTTTTTTTTGGAGTTTGGACATTATAATAATCAAAGACAAATAGTTTAGTAAGTACCTTTTTAAGAAAATCGGGCGGGTAATTATCCATGAACTGCCTTGGTACGTCTGATTTCGGGTTCTCAACGTTAATATTCGTTAGATCAGTACTGAAATCGTGTTCCCGAATTTCCATTTTTCTTTTTCACTTTGAATAACAAGCTATGCTAACTCCTTGAATATATATCATTAACCAAGATCAGAGAGAGAGAGAGAGAGAGAGAGAGAGAGAGAGGTTAAGACAATAAATGTATCATTGGTGTAAGTTGTAGGTAGGCTTGTAGCTATTATGCATTGTGGTCAATATAACTTTTTGTATATTTAGGGGACCAAAATGATATTATTAAAAACTTTGAAAAATCGTTTCTATGAGGCGGAGCCAAAAACAGTGTAAAAAGTGAGGACCAATTTGGCAATTTCCATAAGATTGGAACATGACATGGGAGTAGTTTCAGATAGATGCGTGTATTTAAATCGATTGCTTACTTCTCATATTGGGCTTATTATAATATATGGCCCAAAATATATCAAATGGGCTGATTCTTTTTTCAATATTTTTTCACCGGAACTATAATATATTACATATTTTGTTTTTTTCAATCCGATTTTTACTTCTTATAGATAGATAACAAAAAAAAAAAAAAAAAACTTATGATTTCCGATAATATTACAAAAAAATATGTAATTTTTATTTATGATCTTCAAAAAAAAAAAAAAAAAAACTAATCTGATATTAATTTTAGCTTCCAAAAAAATATTTTTACTCTCTAAATGGATTTGAATTTTTTTTGTATCCTTTTTTGATAAGAGTGAAAGTATTAATTTAATTGGCAAAAGATACAGAAACCAGAATTGTGTAGTCGGCGTTTTTGGTTGAAATGCGTGCAAAACGGAATATTTTTATGCTTTTGGTATCAAACGAGTATATTTAATTAATTATTATTATTATTATTATATTTAGAAAAATGAAGGGGAAACTACAGATAAATCCCTAATCCAAAACTCAAAACACAGATCAGTCCCTAGGTAGTTTCCCTAAGCAATTCAGTCCCTATTCACGCGTCTGACATGCAGATCAGTCCCTAATGTGAATTTTATATATTTTATTATATTATCTCTCTTCTTTTTCACTCTCACCCTTTTCTCTCTCCTCCTTTTCTCTCTCTTCATTTTCTCTCTCTTCATCTTCTCTTTCTTTCTTCTCTTTCTTCATTTCTATCTGCTCTCTTTCTTCTCTATTTCTTCTCTCTTTCTCTCCTCTGGTTTCCTCTTTTTCCAAAGAAAATGTCATTGTAAAACCCACCCACCCCACAATGGCTACAAATGATGTATCTAATGATGTACCCACTGTGATTCTTGGAAGTTGTCGATATAAGCATCTGATAATGAAGATGAGTGTGGTCGACATTGTCGTGATCCGCAAAGATGAAGCTAATTCGCGTGGAAAGAGGGTTCGCACCGATGGCTGGTAGGTCTCCATATTTTTCTGTACTGCTGAAATGCATTTCTTTATGGTCGTTAATTATTGTGATACATAGTATAAAATATGGCACGTAATAGTATCATGCTAATATAAATATGGTATGGACGTATGGTACTTACAGTACGTAATCGTTGTTCGTATAGTATGCGTGATTGGTAAATTTGGTACTGTTGGTGGGAAAACATAGTATCATATAATGGGGAAGATAGTACGTAACCTTCATCTGAATAGTATGGGTGATAGGTAAATTTGGTACTGTTGGTGGGAAAACATAGTATAATATAATGGGGAAGACAGTACGTAACCATTATTCGGATACGTACAAGCAGGTATATCAATTCACGATTAACCCAATTCCCTCGTTTGATGAGGACTTTGACTTGTACGATGCGTGTAATGCTCCGCCCGATGTCTTTGTTAATGCAGCTGATTGAGAACTCGACCAGGACGTAGAAAGACAAAAAGAATTCATTCACAAGTGCAGTTCGGGTTTTACTGTTGCCCACACCATGGTTACTCCCATTGGTGTGAACCATTTGAAGTTGGGCAAACTTTTTCCAACTCAAATCGTGAAGAAAATGAAGCTACAAGTGCGTCAATGAACCAAGTCCATCGAGAAAGTGAAGTGAAGAATTGCAATTCTGAAGGTGGAGTAGTTCATAGTTTGATAGTGTTGAATCTAGTAATATTTGCAGTCTACATGCTATGTAAAACCTATGTACTGTTGTTTAATTAGTGAACATAAGAGTACAATGTATAAGCTGGTAAAGTTAGGGTTATTCGTGAATATAGTACGCTTTGTACACATGTGAAGTACAAGTGATTCGTGGCTATAGTACGCTTTGTTCACTGATAAAGTATATGTTTGTCATTCATATAGTATTGTTACACTCTATATATTATTGTCGGGCCAATGCATCCATATGATCGCATTTGAAGACACAACTCTTTAGTTTAAGACTATTAAGAATGAATGGAGACAATGTGGGAGTTGATCAATATCGATTATGGTAACAATTGAGGAAAATATTAGTTTTACACTTGAGCATTGTAGGCTTGTATGAATATATTGTATAGTATATGAGTATCATGTATGAAATTCAACATATTTATGGGATCTTGTATTCCAAACGCAACAATAATGCTCACCTACCTTAAAATAATCATCTAAAACATAATTTATGCATCTCCCGTACTTATTGATCATTAAAGCGTCAATGAAATTGGTACAATTCAATTCATCAAAAAATATGGTACGCTTTGTTCATCAAGTAAGTACAATGAATGCACATGTGAAGTACAAGTGATTCGTGACTATAGTACGCTTTGTTCACTGATAAAGTATATGTTTGTCATTCATATAGTATTGTTACACTCTATATATTATTTCCGGGCCAATGCATCCATATGATCGCATTTTAAGACACAACTCTTCAGTTTAAGACTATTAAGAATGAATGGAGACAGTGTGGGAGTTGATCAATATCGATTATGGTAACAATTGAGGAAAATATTAGTTTTATACTTGAGCATTATAGACTTGTATGAATATATTGTATAGTATATGAGTATCATGTATGAAATTCAACATATTTATGGGATCTTGTATTCCAAACGCAACAATAATGCTCACCTACCTTAAAATAATCATCTAAAACATAATTTATGCATCTCCCGTACTTATTGATCATTAAAGCGTCAATGAAATTGGTACAATTCAATTCATCAAAAAATATGGTACGCTTTGTTCATCAAGTAAGTACAATGAATACACATGTGAAGTACAAGTGATTCGTGACTATAGTACGCTTTGTTCACTGATAAAGTATATGTTTCCCATTCATATAGTATTGTTACACTCTATATATTATTGTTGGGCCAATGCATCCATATGATCGCATTTTAAGACACAACTCTTCAGTTTAAGACTATTAAGAATGAATAGGAACAATGTGGGAGTCGATCAACATCGATTATGGTAAGTTTTTCGTGAATACACATGTGAAGTACGCTTTGTTCATCAAGTAAGTACAAGTCTAGTGTTGACAAAGTATCTTCGAATAGACTAGAAAGTATTTGTTGCTCATTTTTATGGTACGCTTATATTCTTTATACAAACTAATTAATCGCAAAATAAAGTACCATGTGTTCAAAAGGTAAGTACATTTCATCGAAACATATAGTACAATGTATACAATGGAAAAGTACGAGTAGAGCTAATCAATAGTATTATTAGCTCTACAACGGAAGGACAGATTGTTTATGGCACAAAAAACACATTCATCTATTTGAAAAGCGATCGGTGAGCACCTGCAGCCTATTGATAGCTTACTGCAATCTTCTTTTACATCAATTCCTGCAATTACATACACATAAAACTACAATTATAACAAATACAACGTACTATAAAGTTCAACTACTAGTACTTCCAGTAATTTCGTTCAATACCATCCAAATGCACTAGCAATACCATTGTTGCATATGACACATACTACACTACAATCAAACATTATACTATTCGAATGCACTAGCAATATCACTCAACAGCACTAGCAATACTATTGTGGCATATGACTTATACTACAGAACCACCAAACATTATACTTCAAGTACCCTGTGTCAATACCATCTAAATGCACTATTAATACCATTACTGCGCATGACACATACTATAGAACCAGTACGAAAAATACAATAAGCCTCTTTCCCATATCATAAGAATAATACCCAAGAGAAAACTATTACAAAATCATGAAATTCGACAACAAATAAATGATCTTTGCAAACCCAAACAACAGAACAACAGATATTGGAACCGATTTAATGATTAGGGGAAACACCGAATAAAGTCGAGGCATAATACCCATGAGTGGATATGTTCAAAATCATGCAATTCTATAACAAATTAACCTTTTGCAAGCTCAAGCAACACCCAAATGGGTCTGTTTCCAATAAAATGAAAAAAAAAAAAAAAATCAAACCTTGTTGTTTACCATGCTTCACCATTGTCTATAAATGGGTTTGTTTATTTTTATTTTTCCTTTCGCTTTATTATTTTTCTACGTTTTGTTGATTCTTCGTGCTTCGTAATTTCTTCGTTCTTTGTTGTTTCTTTGTTCTTCGTTTCTTCTCTGTTTCTTCTTGGTCTGAAAATGAGTATAAACTGGCAAAGAGCGTGTAATACAAACGGCGCGTTGGAAGTTGAAAAGAAGTTATGTAAAATTAATATAAAGTAAAGGATATTTTAGTATTTGCACATTTTATTAGGGACTGATCTGCATGTTAGGCGCGTGAGTAGGGATTGAATTGCTTGGGGAAACTACCTAGGGACTGATCTGTGTTTTGAGTTTTGGATTAGGGATTTATCTGTAGTTTCCCCAAAAATGAAATCCGACCATCAGACATGCAAAAGTTAGAAATATCCAATTGAACATAAAAATTTAATCCGACCATGAACGGACTATATCATCGATTTTTACCTAAATATTTATAAAAAGTTAAATTAACAAACACGTGTATTTATTATAATATATATACCAGAAAAGTTATATATTTAATTTAATTAAATAAGTGGGATGAAAGTGGACGGAAGCAGGTAGAATTTAATTAATGCCGAATATACAAATGCAGCTAGCATGGCTGCCACGTGTACATGCAGAGATGATGGATATATACGGCTGCTACTAACGCCAGACCAGAATTGCTCTCGCCAGAGCAAAATCTTCTATCACGAGCAATTAATTCTCTTGTATTCTAGTAAAGAAAATGATGTAGATAACGATTACTGAATCAGGCTCACCAGTTGTAATTAACAACAAAAATTTGGATATTCTATATTATTTTTATTTAATATAATTGGATCTTTTATATACATATTTTAAATTTTATGGTAGAAACTAATAATAATAAATTATTTACTAGCAGCCTAATTAGTTTCATTCGTTTGGCTGACGTGTGTACTAACTATTGTTTGGTGTAATCATCACAAGTCATTTACTTGTAATTAATAATTATCATGAATACTAGGGAAATATGTTTTTTGTGTTGATATATATGTTTGGATTGGATATATTATTGGAAGAGTAACTAATTTTACCATTACCTAATTATAAAATAAAATAAAAATAGTTTCACTATTACCTCGATATTATCAATTTTTGAATATTGCATATGTTTGATTGATCTAATTCTAATATATGGAAATGTCACTATTTCCAGTCCAACCAGCCAAGCATCACCTGTGACAACTGTTAAACATAACTTGTGACCAAAATAAATAAATAAAAAAAAAAAAAATGAAAAAGGAAAAAAATTGATAATCGTAGCAGATTGAAATGTACTTGGCAATAGCAATAAATCAAAAATCAGAAATCATCATACCAACTCTTTTTTGGAAGTAGACAGAAATCAGAAAAAAAAAACAAACACAGAGTTTGGGGATCTCTGAACGTACTCTTCAATGAAGCCGGGAGAGGAAACTGACGGCGGCGTTACAACCATCGGAGTACCTCTCTTGGCCGCCGGCAATGGGGCGGCGGAGTCTGCTCATCACGCGCCTATTTCTGGCGGCGGCTCAACGTCTTTCTTCAAAACCTGCTTCAACGGCCTCAATGCTTTATCAGGTTTTCCTCCATTAATATTGCCATTCTTCATTCTCAATAAATTAAATTACTTCTGTTTTTCTGAGATTTATCTGTGTTTTAATTAATTTCTCAATTTCATTTTTTAATTTTTTTTTTTAATTTTTGGAAAATGTTTTTTTTTTCCAGATATATCAGAATTAAATATATTTTACAATTAATATGTTCATGGGCTGGCTAGCTGGAGTTTGTTTATCCATCTTCCTTTATCAGACTAATGCCTAATACTCATGAATAGTTATTGCCAACTGTTTCAGAATAGTTTGAATCAGAACTCATGAAAAAATTACCAATGTATTCAACTGTAGTATGTTAATTAATTTTAATTGCTAGTTGAAAAAGAATATTCATGTTTAATTATTTTTGGAATATTCAGGTGTAGGAATATTATCTATACCATATGCACTATCATCAGGTGGATGGTTAAGCTTAATACTGTTCTTCCTTATCGCGGGCTGCACTTTCTACACGGGCTTATTAATCCAAAGATGCATGGACATGGATCCGAATATACGAACTTATCCAGATATCGGTTATCGGGCATTCGGCCCCACAGGAAAAGCCCTTGTCTCCATGGCAATGAATGTCGAACTGTTTTTGGTAGCCACCGGTTTCTTGATTCTCGAAGGAGACAACTTGCATAATTTATTTCCGAACATTGAATACGAAATCGGTGGGATTTTAATTAGTGGAAAACAAAGCTTTATTGTCATAGTTGGTTTGGTAATGCTGCCGAGTGTCTTGTTGGATAATATGACCGTTCTTTCTTACATCTCGGCTACTGGAGTTGTGGCTTCTTTCGTACTCATTGGCTCGTTTTTGTGGGCCGGTGCGTTCGATGGGATTGGATTTCGTGAGAAGGGCAGGGTTTTGAACTGTAGAGGAATTCCCACCGCTATTAGTCTCTACGCCTTTTGTTACTGTGCGCATCCGGTTTTCCCCACACTGTACACTTCGATGAGGAACCAAAAGAAGTTCTCCAGGGTAAAATCTATATATGTATACGAATTTATTGCATTCAGTAAATAAAAAGAAAATCTCCCGACTGATGATTATATTAGGAAACACAACACGGTATTAGGAATTTTATTTAAATAATTAAGACTCTAAATTGCAGGTATTGCTCGTTTGCTTTCTCGTCTGCACGATGGGATATGCGTCCATGGCGGTTTTAGGGTATCTCATGTTCGGTTCTCAAGTGGAGTCTCAAATAACTTTAAATCTCCCTACTAATAAAATTAGCTCGAAAGTTGCTATCTACACTACCCTTGTGAATCCGTTAGCTAAGTATGCATTGATGGTGACTCCAATTGTGAGTGCTCTTGAGAAACGTTTCATATCGAGCCCGAAAAGAGGGCTAAGCACTTTGATAAGGACTGGATTGGTATTAAGCTCAATTATTGTGGCACTTGCGGTACCCTTCTTCGAATATCTAATGTCACTTGTCGGTGCTTTTCTGAGCGTGACAGCTTCGATCATTCTTCCGTGTTTGTGCTTCTTGAAGATTTCGGGAACTTACCGAAGATTTGGGCTTGAATCGGTTGCGTTATGGGGAATTGTGTTGACTGGTGTTGTTGTTCTTGTTATAGGTACTTGCACAGCTTTGCAGGAGATTTATGAGCATTTGGTTGGATAGTGTAATTAGTAATTATATTTGTACTAATATTTATTTAATGCCTTTTTTTAAAAAAATCTTTTTTACGATGTAATATACTAGGTGTCTTCGATTGCCCCTATTAAATTCTAGCGACTAAATAGTAGAAGTTACTAACATAATCGGTTGACAACAAATTAGCCCGAAAGGTATTCCTAACCAAGGTCGAACGTGTCGAAACCAATATGGCTTCTACTTTCTTTCATCGAACGATGGCGAAATTTTGCTTTAGAAACCTAATTAACTTTAATTAAGAAGAAAACAAAATGTCCTAATCACAATCACTAATCTCTTGGGGAATCCTAGACAATTTGAACTACGCAACTCTAAAAAGAAGTGGATTTAATAACATCTGAATCTTTGTCTTGACTCTTGAAAAGGGGTGTTGAGCATATCGAATCAATTCTTGTAGAAAATTTAATCACTTGTGTAATTTATTTGCATATTTATTCATTTTCTTAATTAAATTAATTGCCATGAACTAGCTTTGTTGGTCCTGCAAAATAGATAGGAATTAGGATAGGCCCCACAATATCTATTTTTAGAAGGATTTCAATTTAAACAGATTTCTATATTTAGCAGTCTGCCAAATTTGATTTGAGTTAATAACTTAATATTGGGCCATGTGTTCTCAAGTTCATTACTGCTATCTCAACATTATTTATGTCAATTAAATAAAATAAAATTATGTTGATGCTGATGGTCCTCTCCTTTATCTCACTTATATCTCAATAAAAATAAAAAATAAAAATAGTCGATGAACTTCAAATATATATTACAGTTCAACGAGGAACCAACGACATTTCTCCGCGGTACATTTACTACTTTTAAAACATTAGAATCATATATACAGTAAGAAGAGATTCTACAGTCTATTCGCGAGAACTATCTTGCTCACAAGCAGTGTCGTTATAGCGTTATCTCTACCCTTTTTTGGGGCTCTTCTGTCACTCGTTGGAGCCTCTTTTTAGCGTCACAACTTCGATTCTGCTTCCGTGGCTAGGAAGCCTAGTTTCGAAGCTGCAAGTATAGACTTTGTTGTCTTAATGGGCTTACTATCATTGTTATCGGTACTTACACGTCTTTGTTGCAAATAATCCAAAACCTTTTTAGGCTGCGTTTGGAATGACGGATTTGAAATCCACCAACATTGCTCAAAAGCAACTAAAAATGAGAGCTAACGATGTCAAATGACTCTATCCAAACAAGCTCAATGGATTTGTTATTCGGATTTGAAATTACCCCCTAATCCTTCCATCCAAACGCACCTTAAATAATGATTCGGCATTTTTAAAGAAAAATCTAAAATAGCAAATATGTCATAAAACATTGACAGGAGTGACCAAATTCATTAAAATCTAATCATATTTGCATGCAAATTTAGTGTATTCAGCAACAAGATGATATCACTAAACGGAACACAAGAATAATCGCCGGAAAAGAATTTAAAGGTGGACCCACCTACCTCGAGAAAACTCGCTCCACCAATCTTCTTCAATCCTCCTCGTCTCATTCTGCTCCTCAATTGTGCAGCTTTCTCCCACAATCCCACTTCAGCAAAACTATTTGCAAGCATCACAAAGTTTCCGCACCTCTTTGGCTCCAGTTCGGTTAATCTCCGTCTCACTTTCTCACCCACACCGGTACAGTCATTCACATCATGAATGGTGCAAGCACTGAGCAACGCCCTCCACACAACAGCATCCGCCTCAAAGGGCATTTTCGTCACAAAAGCATACGCTTCTTCTAGAAGACCAGCACGACCTAAGATATCAACCATCGCACCGAAATGAACCATTCTTGGACTGATCCCGTGCACTTGCTTCATCTCGTTGAAATAGTACCGCCCGTCCTCCACCAATCCTGCGTGGCTACAGGCACAGAGGACTCCAAGAAAAGTGACGTGGTTAGGTTTTATCGAATGATTTCTTCTCATTTCATCGAACAGTTGAAGGGCGTATCCAGCGAACCCATGCTGAGCAAACCCAAGGATCATAGAACTCCACGTCCACACGTTTCGATGTACCGTCCTTCTAAAAACTAGGCTGGCGTAATCAACATCTCCACATTTACCGTACATGTCGACAAGAGCAGTGCCTAGCTGGCAATTCACAGACATTCCTTTCGCAATCACTTGGGAATGAACCCATTTCCCCAGGCTCAAATTACCGAGTTCTGCACAAGAAGAAAGCACAATCACCATTGTAGTCTCGTCTGGCTCAAACCCTCTGTCTCTCATCTTAATGAAAAGCTCAATCGAATCGTAAAACCAAGAACACTCGATGCTGGCCGATATCACCGAATTCCACGAAACAACGGTTCTGTGAGTCATCTCATCGAACACCTTGTACGCATCCAGGATCTTCTTACAACATCCATAGAAATGAATGAGAGTATTCTGAACATAGACATTGAAATGCAAACCATGCTTCAATACATCCCCATGAATCTGACGCCCCACGCCTAATCCCAGAAACGAAGCGCACGCCTTGAAGAGGAAAGGGAAAGTGTGCTCATTCGGTCTAATTCCCAAACGACGCATATCAACGAAAACCCGGACCGCTTCTCTTCGCGAGCAGTCGGCATTACAAGTGGCGTAGGCTTTTATGACATTGTTCCATGAAAAAGGCTCCAACTTTCCAGAGAAACAAACAACATTGTAGCCGTGGCTGAGTGAATGAATTGGATGTTTTGTTCGAAGTGAACCGGAAGTACAAACCTGGATGATTTTGTCTGTAATATAGGAATTGCGATGAAGCCCTGATATTATGATCTGTGCGTGGATCTGAAGAAGCTGTTTTAGCGAAGAGCAAGAATTTAAGAGAGACGAGAGACATTGTCGCAATGGTACGAGATTTGAATTACAGTTGAAGGATTTGCGCCGGTGAATTTCAGCCAATTGATGCGGGAAATCGTACCGTGGCATCCCAAATTCCCCGATAAAATGGGTGATTTACTTGACTTATATGAACTAAATCGAGAGTGGATCGGATTTGGGCCGATTTGTATGCCCCAACTTACCATCCGAAATCAGTTGAGCTATACATGCAGGATCATTGTATCTTTAACTCAATTTATACGTTTTCATATCTCAATTTATTAGGTCAAATAACTTATCTGATTCAAAATTTATTATTACTCAACTTTCTTACTTACACATATTCACGCTTACATAGGTATACACGCCGTTGCCACTTATCGGATAATTACATAACCACTACTCTGGCAACAATTATAGAATTGTTACTTAATAAATAATTACATAACTGTCGTTTAACGTCAATTGCAGAATTGTAGCTCAACCAATAATTACAGAAATGTCCTTTAAAAGCAATTACAAAATTGTCACTTACCAATAAATTACACCACTACCACTCAGCAAATAATATATAATTGTCATTTATCTATAATTACAAAAGCGCACGTCACTCATCAAGTAATTACAGAACTGCTAGTCATCGGTAATTAAATATTTATCATTCATCAAGTAATTACAGAACTGCTACTCAATTCCAACATACCAAACATGGAGAAAGATAGAGAAATGTAGATGACGGTGACAACAGAGGCAGCGACATGGAGCGACGACGGAGATAGAGAATTAAAAATAAATAAGTAGAATAAAATTTACACTAAGATACAATGTGACAAATATTACACCGTCCAAATGGACGGAAAACAAACCCAAGTTGCATGATCTCTAGTACACATTTCCCACGTTCCATTTATCCAGTACCACAAATTAAAATAAATAAATAAAAAAATACTAAATTAAATTCTATCAAAAAATATTAATATTTTGTCTAATCGATTTAATATATATTCTTAATAACCAATAATTAATAGTCAGATCCAGTAGCAGGTTACAATAAACAATGTTATGATAGTACTACAATCTAATGTTTATTATTCCACATGCCTCTAATTAAACATTATTAATAAATAGGTAATTAAATAGATTAATCTCCAAAAATAGGTAATTAAAGAAAACACAGAGTTTCTGTCCACAAGGGACTGGTTAGCTGAAAACTATAACAGAACTGAAATCTTCTTTGTTTGGAATCTTTATTTTTGTTGAACCTAGCTCATCTGAACCTCACATTCACATTAATTTCATCACCTGTGATTTTATGCCTCAGTGGGTCCTTCTTCAGTGCGGCCATTGATACAACAGACATTCTTCTTTCACTGCAATTCCCCTCTTTTTTTTTTTTCAATCACCAAACGCAAGAACGAAGACACCACAGTTTCTCCATTATAAGAATCGTTGATTGGGGTGGGGGGTTTGATCATTCTCTAATTTCCTCAATTGAGTTTGGTCCATTCTCTATTGGGTTGCTTGCTTTTGCATAAAATCTGTGAAAAAATCTATCTATTTCTCTAAGAGGCAAATTGTCGAACACCTAAATGGCGTCTATGGGATCCTTCCCAACCGGACTCGACGGTTCTATACTTCTTCACAGTGCGAATCACCAGCGACCCGTCATTCCTATACTTGCGTACAGGCCCAGAAAGTACGTGTAATTTTGTTGCTGATTTTATTTCGGCTGGGTTTTGGATAAATTTGACAGTTGATCTTGTTTGGCAGATTATCTCTGTGCAATGGATGCAGCGGCGGACGGCGGAGGTGGGCGGCGCAGCATGTTAAAGCGACGAAGGAGGGGACTGAGCGAGTCGAGAGTGACGATGAGTCAGATGACGCTTTACATGCCACTATTGAAAAGAGCAGAAAGGTTCTTGCATTGCAAAGAGACCTTTTACAACAGGTTTATTCCTTTTTTAATTCCTGAAACCCCTCTTCTTCTTCTTCTTCCTTTTTTGAAGTTCTACGTATCTGCTTTATGATGATAGTCTTAAGGGTTATAATCTATTAATTATCTCAGCGAAGATCTTGATTTGATCAACACAGCAAATGGATGATCACATTTGTTTCTCTTTCATTTTTATTTAATTCTTCAATAGGAGAAGAATCCAGATTTCATTTTCCGGGGACTACTTTAGAGTATAAATTCGGTTTCGAAAAAACACTTCAAATAGACTGGTACTAATCACTGTTGTTTCCGTTTCTTGCTAAATTCACAGTTCTTATAAGTGCTTTAGCTTCTCATGGATTCGTACACTACCTTTGTTTGTTAATCGGGGTTATTATCTTAGAGATTATGATGTGCAGGAATCTATTGTGTTATTTTCATCCCGAAATTTACATATTTATATTTGTTTCCCCTCGAGAAAAGTTATCAAAGTGACTTTTCTTGGATTTTCAGATTGCCGAAAGAAAGAAATTAGTCTCGTCAATCAAGAATAGTATAAATGATCCCGAAGGAAGCGAAGAACCTTATATAGAGAGCAATGTCACTATTCCCAATCTTGACCCCGTTGCAACTGAAGGTACTGATGTCGATTTATCCATACAGGTGAATGAAATATCCAGCTTTTCATCACTATTAAATATATTTCTGCAGATACCTCAAAACTTGGAAAAGACCTTCCTCGTAATGGAACTTCATTTAAAACCACTACTTCTTTGGGTGTTCAATCTAATGAAGTCCTGTCTATGGCTTCGAAATCCTCTGTGAAACCGAGCCCAGAGTATCCGTACAACGATGTGAAGAACACTACAGAGACAATAATATCCGGTTCAAAGACTTCCATGGAAGAAGATTCAGGCAAACCGTTGAAGGATACTACCGTAAAAACTGCTGTTCTGTCTGATATACCATCGAGCAAGGAAATTGTACAAAGTGAAGATTTAAAGAAATGGAGCCCAGAGAGTGCATTAAGTGTTGAAGAGCCTACAAACGAAGAGGTGAAACCCCCTCCACTAGCTGGGGCTAATGTGATGAACGTAATTTTAGTTGCTGCAGAATGTGCTCCTTGGTCCAAAACAGGTATTATTACTACGCTGAGTGACTGAAAACACTTTTAAGGTTTCGATTTTTTTTCGACGGTAGAAGATGTTATTACAACTGGGTAATTATTGAAAGTGCTTGATAGGATTATCTATGATATTTAAAGAAGGGATGCATGTATCTGATCCATAGGTAAATTGTCAATGCAATTACGTCATTCTTAATTAAAGCTGATAATTGAAATGATGCAATAGGTGGATTATGTGTGTACAGATGCGACGAAATGGGGGATTTTGTAGCCTAATTCATCCATTTATCGACACTTATTTCCTATAGTCTGTTTGAAAAATGTAACATGTGAAAATTATGATTGTTGTTGTGTAGGTGGGCTTGGAGATGTTGCTGGGGCTTTACCTAAGGCTTTGGCTAGGCGTGGACACAGAGTCATGGTAATAAAACATATCTTGTACAAATTTGTATGGATAAGTAAATTGAATTTCATATAACGAAAGATATTCTGATGGATCACATGGTTATCATCTACGCACACCTGATTATTATTTTTTTATATATATATTTTAATGTAACTAATAGGTTGTTGCACCCCGATATGGTGATTATGCTGAAGCTCAAGATTTAGGGGTCAGGAAGAGATATAAAGTAGATGGTCAGGTAAGCAATGACGAGATTTTTTTTTTTTGGTTTTCACAGTTGTGTAACATCGTATGATACTTTGCAGGATATGGAGGTGAATTACTTCCATGCCTACATTGATGGTGTAGATTTTGTCTTTATTGATAGCCCCATTTTTCGGGGCTTAGGGAGTAATATATACGGAGGAAATCGTGTGGTAAGTATGTTCATATTTTTTTTTACAGGAGAGCTAAGATCTTTTTTCTTTATAATCTGATCACCGAATTACCACCATATGCATGCATTTCATCCAATTTTTGCACGTTTCTTTTAGTTGAATGAAAAGATCTTTACCGTTTTTTCCGGAAAAATAACTTGATGTTTTTAATACTTACGCCGGCGTTTCTTTTCCTTATTATCGCAGGACATTCTGAAGCGTATGACCCTGTTTTGCAAAGCTGCTGTAGAGGTATATGATTAAATCAAGATATAGAATAAGCATATAATAGGAATTATATTCTTGAAACTCGGGTGAAATGATTATGACATCTCTAATAATCTGCAGTACGTACTGTATGTATTTCAATATTTACGTGTTTTTTAAACACAGGTTCCTTGGCATGTTCCATGTGGCGGGGTCTGCTATGGAGACGGAAATTTAGCTTTCATTGCAAATGATTGGCACACTGCTTTATTACCAGTCTACCTCAAAGCATACTATCGAGACCACGGTTTAATGAAATACACCCGATCAGTCCTTGTCATTCACAACATAGCTCATCAGGTTAGTTCACCTAGTACACTACACCCCTTTTATAGTCTTTACGATGATCTAGGCTCTGTTTGGTTCATGGAGTTTGATTTTGAAATGAGGAAAATGAAAACAAAGAATATTAAAATATCTGTTGGTTCCTAGGGAAAATGGTGATGGAATTGATTTTGCATTTTCATTTCCTCATTTTTTTTTTTAAATCCATGAACCAAACATAACCTTAGGAAACTGTTTATTTTCTTTGTTTTTAGTCATAAAATATTTTCGCATTTTCCCTCAACTCATTTTACCTCCCAACCAAACAGTAAATCTGTTTTACCTAGTCCTTTCATATTTTTAATTAGCATTTTTCGATCCAAACAGAGGCCTAATGTTTCATCTCTTTCTTCCATTCTTTGTTTTCATCTATTAAAACCAACCAGGGTCGTGGGCCTGTCAACGATTTCGCCTACGTGGACCTTCCACCTCACTACCTAGACATCTTCAAGCTCTACGACCCCCTTGGTGGGGACCACTTCAACATCTTCGCCGCAGGCCTAAAAGCCGCCGACCGTGTAGTCACCGTAAGCCACGGGTATTCATGGGAGCTCAAAACCCCCGAAGGGGGGTGGGGTTTAAACGGAATCATAAACGATAACGATTGGAAACTCCGTGGAATTGTAAATGGCATCGACACCAAAGAATGGAGCCCCGAATCGGATATCCACTTACAATCGGACGGGTACACAAGCTACTCCCTCGACACTCTAAAAACAGGCAAACCCCAATGCAAACGGGCCCTACAAAACGAGCTCGGGTTACCCGTTCGTGAAGACATCCCTTTAATCGGATTTATTGGTAGACTAGACGATCAAAAGGGGGTCGATTTGATAGCGGAAGCGGTACCGTGGTTAATGGATCAAGATGTGCAGTTGGTTATGTTGGGTTCGGGTCGACCCGATCTTGAGGATTTGCTTAGACGGTTCGAGGGGGAGTACTACGACAGGGCTCGAGGGTGGGTGGGGTTTTCGGTTAAAACGGCCCACCGGATAACGGCCGGAGCGGATGTGCTGTTGATGCCTTCAAGGTTCGAGCCGTGCGGGTTGAATCAGCTTTACGCGATGCGTTACGGTACTGTTCCGGTTGTTCATGCAGTGGGCGGGTTGAGGGATACGGTTAGGGCATTTGACCCGTTTTCGGAAACGGGTCTTGGGTGGACGTTCGGGCGGGCAGACGTGGGGGAGATGATACATGCTTTGGGGAACTGTTTGTGGACTTACCGTGAGTTTAAACAGAGTTGGGAAGGGATACAGAGAAGGGGTATGGAGCAGGATTTGAGTTGGGATAATGCTGCACAGAATTATGAGGAAGTTCTTTTAGCTGCTAAGTATCAGTGGTGAATTTGGTATTAATAATAATATAGTCAATATTTTCTTGAATTTGAGGCTGACTTTTTGCAATTTTAGATTGACATTTTTTTATTTTTTTTGTTTTGAAGTGGATATTGAATCTTCATTAGTAGTGGTAGAAATGAATGTAAAGAATAAACATTTTGTAATCCACCGCCACTGACATATCAAAGCATTTGCTTATCAAACTTTTACTGTAATTGATATCTTTTAACATGCATTTTGCTGTACTTTAATTCATTAATGTTCAGATGAATTGATAAATAGTTGTTTGTCAATTTTGAGCTAATGAAATGTAGGAATAGAGGTAAAAATCGGACAGATCGGATCTGAATTAACATTTACGATAAAAAATCCAAAATATCTTTCCGGACCATCGACAATAGCAAACATCCTGAAATAGATCAAAACTTGAATCGAGTCACCAAATATTTATCCACACCACAAAACTGTGCCATTGATTGTTAAAATCTACGAACTATATCTTAGTTCATAACAGGCAAATCATAGCTACTATATAACTAAACCACACAATTCAATTCCTAAGGATAACAAACAATTCGTTCCACGATATAAAAAAATTACACCTTTATTGATTTTTATATCAATCTTAACTAGATAACTAAAAACAAATCACGACCGTGTATGTGTGTGTGTGCGATAACCAATCAACAACATAAAACTCTTACCAATACCAATAATGTAATCTATCAATCAATTTATCTATAAATATGAGAGTCTTGCATCGTGGTCAAACTGCAAACAAGAACGACCGGAGAGAAGTCCAGCGAAACCCTTTGACAGGCACCCCTCAACCGCACAAGGAGAAGACTTGTTCTCGATCGAATAAACGTGCCTTCTCTTTGAATTTGGAAAACCGCTACTACAACTTCCGTAACCCTTGGAAGATTCCGATTCCATCTCCAAATTATATCCCAACTTCCTCTTTGAACCGGGTAAGTTTATCAAACCTACAGTTCGCGCAGTTTCACAAGGGAAAAGAATATTAAATTTCATGTAAGCATAATAACAATAGAGTCTCCAGTTTTCCACCATTTACCAGACAGAGTGTCCTCACATTGTTGAGGTTCCGAGTCACCACAATTACAGTATAAATTATTAGCACTGCCAAGTGATCCCATGATCCTGCATGAAATCATAATTGCTCAAAATTAGTTCTAAATTGGAATTTTATAATTTGGAATATGTTTCTAAAATTAAATTTGAACTCGTTAGCTCCGACTGAGATACTTACCTGTACATGTCCTCGACGAAGTCATCAATTAAGACAGGCCATGCTCCTGATGTAATAACCACCAATTAGATAACAAAAGAAACAATTCATTTGATTACTCAAAAACATATAGGATCATCGACTATCATTTGATGGGAAATGTTTTTGGACAATAACTAGTATGAAGATGCAGGACAATCCAAAAGAAGAAAGTAAACAAATAAACATAATCACAAGCCAGAGTTAAACACGTGTCTAAATCCACTGCAACATTTTAAAAATTTATCTAACATTGAATAAAACGTAAGTCTGCTTTATTCAACCACCACTATTTCGATCAATCAGGCCATCTTAAATGCCTATATGATGTTTCATTTCCTCACTCTGTCAAGCTGGAAAAATGGAACAAGGAATAATCTATACATCTTTACTACATAAAATATCAAATACTGCCTAGGGGCAATAATGTAAAAAGAAGTGTGTGGTGACACCTAAATGAATGTGAATGAACAACCAATGACATAAAAGAAGACAGTATCATACCTTCAGGATCATAACCATCAAGATTTTCATGGACAGACCGACTGAAGGCTAAAACTTGTCGCCACGTATCTTCAGATATGTTATGTCGGTGATTTTTCTTGAGAATAAAAGTTCAACAGATCAGAAACCGAAAGCAGAAATATTTACTTTTAGTATAGAACAGTTCTGTATAGTGCAACTTACCTCAACAAAGTTGCACCATCTATTAAGCAATCGAAACCTTCCAGGCAAAACTAATCTCCAAGCCATAACAGCCCTGCTTACAGCTGATATATACATTCATGTGATATAGTTGTTAAAGTCTATTTATGATTTCTGGTGGAATAAAAATCACACTAAAAGGCTAAAAACAGTAAATCAACTTACTAATGTTCTTTTGACCATTTTCCCGGCAAATGAAAAACACAAACTCGTAAAAACGTGAGAACTCCGAAAAGTCTGCCTGTAAGCGACATAAGAAGTCTTGAAACAAATATACACAGAAACCTTATATTCATGCAGCCAAAACTAACTAAGAATTGTCGCTTACCAACAAGTCTAATCTTGACATCAGCTTGTAAACTTCCTCAAGAATTGAAACCCTACAGCAGAATATGAAATAAAATTATTAATATAGTTTAGTACATCATTAATATAAAATATTCCAAACCTTCAATCACAACTTATCTAATTAACCATAATTAATCCATACTTTAACTTAGTGATAGGGGTTTAGCAGGTATCCATACTTGAACTATTTTCTCTCTATTTAAATTTTTTAGACTAACTGCTTCAAAAATCTCATAAAAGTTTAAAAAATAATCTATTTACCCTGCAATGGAAGAGGAGACCAAAGTCTCGTAAGGTGATCAAATTAACCACACACAACTTCAATAAAATACATATTCATTGAAACTTTTTTGTAAGAACAAAATGATACCTCGTACTGACTTTTGAGTCCACCACTTTCGATAATTGCGATAATGACTCTCTCAAGATACTCGCTTTCTGAAACTCGACATCTACGCCATAATCCTGCCCGACGTTAGCAACCACCTTCGATGTAATATCTGGCAACAAAGTTTCCGCAATTTGGAAATGTGAGTAAGCAGAAAACTACTGGATAAACGCAAGAGCTGAGTTCTTTGCCCTAAATCCACAGAATTGAAGCTACTATCTTTCGATCAGATTCCCAGTTATCCCAATAGCTTCTCCATAAATGAATATTTTCCACAAAAGAAACAATTTAATTATTAAATCAAAATTATTTCCAACACTGCATCTGAGCTACGACCCTAACAACATCCTTCTCCAGACCAATGACAATAAAATTAACAGGTGTATGAAAACTACGTTTTGTCCCCAAAAACAAATCTAAATTCGTACGAAAACTAAACAAGGAAACCCACATTTCGGACAATTTGAAATCCCCAACAGCAATTAAAAAAAAAGTTAAATAAAATACTGAATTCAATTCAATAACATTGATTGAACAAAAATCCAGATTAGAAAACATAAAATAACAGAGGAAAAGGGGGAGATTGTGATTTGTGGTGAGAGTACCGCAATATTGGCGGTAGATTTGGAAAATATCGAAGGAGAAATCCATGGCGATTGGAGAGGTTTGGGGTTTTCGTGGATAGACGAAACCCCAGGTGGAAATTCACCCAACGTAGAGTGCTGGCAGCTGTCACTGTAGCTTCGCTCTGCGGTATGTATCTCTGAGTCGATGGGAAAATGGTCGTTGTAATGAATTACTGTATTTTTAATATATATATATATATATATATATATATATATATATATTATAGTTATACTATCAAAAATGAAATACAGTGTAGGTATTACGCAATATATATACGTTGGAGATTTGAGATTTTCCTTTTTTTTTTTTTTTTAAATTGATTTTCTAAAGACAATTATTCCATATACTACAAAAATTACAATTTTACAATAGTAGAAAAATGTTCAATTTCATTTTTCTCGTTACACAAAAGTCTTACTTTTCGAGTAGTTTTAAATTTTAATAGTGCATTTTCATTCACCTTAGCTTCGTACGATTACCAATCTACATTCTCCGACATAAAACTGCTCAAGTCTGACTATTGTGTCCTAAGCGTCTCTGCTGAAATCGTCTTCCTCCAGAATCACCACTATTTTCCTTCCATCGATTTTACATAATTTTTATATTTTCATATACAAATATCAATTGTTAATTATTGTAATATTTTTTTTATTGGGTATTATATATTGACTTTTTCTTTTATTCTATATAAAGAAGTGAAAATTTATCTTATATTTGGGGCCTGAAAAATTCTACATATTTGGGAGCCCTATTACAAGGTCTAATCCATATGCATTGCGGTTGGGCCTTGGGATGGTGTTTGTAAAAGCTTCTAGAAAAAAAAAAGTTGGCCCTAACACTTATGAATTAAGTTAAAGGGCAAATTATGCTCAAACCCTGATGTGTGATCAAATTACGAAAAAAATCTCTTTTGTCTGGGTAATTACAATCACTCTTCTTCTTAAATATTTTTATATAGAATTTATGTAATTCAATTATTTACTGAACCAAATCGTATATTCAGTTCGGTAAACAGTATGAAATATTGGAAACCGAAATTTCGATTCGGTTTTACCGATTTAACATCCCTAAATTTACACCTGAAGGGATATTTTCGTGAAATAATACATAGTTGAGGAGAGTGGCTGTAATTACTTAAACATGAAGGAATTTTCATAATTTATCCATAACTCAGGGGTGGTCGAAATTTGTCCATTAAATTAATAAAAAATGTTAATTTCTAAAAGTTTGAGGCATAGTTCTATAAAAATAAAAATAAAAATCAATTTTAAGAGAAATGCGTTTTATATTTAACTCAAAACAACTTATTTTAAAAAAAATCAAATTTAATATTGGAAAACACATTAATTGTGATACCGAGCCTACCCCCAAAAAAAAAAAGGCTCAGAATCACGAAAGTGGCCTCAGTCAATTAATAAAAGTTGACCAAAAAAAGGTTCTAGACTCTTCCACAACATTCCAAACCGCCCTATTCCGCAGTCGCTATATAAACCAGCCGCGTCGGCATCGCATTTTTCCTATTATTTTATTATTTTTTTATATTTATTTTCAGAAATTATAGCGCAAAAAAAGGGGAAAAAAAAAGAGTAGATGGCTTCTCCAGATTCCGACTCATCGCCGCCGTCCCTGGAGGAGCTAAGTTCAAGAGGCGCCTACGCGCTCCTCCTCCCCTGGATCATCGGCATGGGGGCTGCCGCCAACTCATCCCCGCGCGAGGTCGCGGTGTTCGTACACCAACCAAGCAGATCGATAACCCTAATGGAAGGATCCATCGACATCGAATCTCTCATGCGGGAGATCCCGTCGCTAGAGAAGGAAGGCCCCTTACCCGCATCCAAAGCCTCAATCGACGCCCTTCCCCGGGTCGAGATATCGGAGCCCGGTCTGGAGTGCGCGATCTGTCTGTCGGAGTACGAGGTCAACGCCGGAGAAGAATTAGTCAAAGAGATGCCGTGTAGACATAAGTTTCACTCCGGTTGTATCGATAAGTGGCTCGGGATCCACGGATCGTGCCCGGTTTGCCGGTTCAGTATGCCGGTCGACGAGGAGGAGGAGAAGAAGGAAAGTGAGAGTGATGAGAGGTTAGGGTGGAGAATCCACGTGTTTCTTCGTCGGGGCAGAAGAAGGGCATCCGGTTCGGATATGGATGTTGATTCGGGTCGGGACGAGGATCCGGATTCGGAAAGTGGAAACGATGATGACGTGGAAGGTGATGGCGGTGATGAGTCGCCAGCTCAGGACATGGATGTAGATGATAGTGATTGATTTCATTTAATTTTTTTTATTATTTATTTTGGGTGAATTAATTTACTTTACTTTTGTAGCGGTTTTATTATTTTGAAATTTAGTTTGATTAGGTGGTGAAAGTTTTTGTACATATACGGAAGAAGTAATTTATTCAAGAAACTTTGGAGAAGATGAAAATTGTTTGGTTTCTTTTGCACATACATTATACTTGTAACAATTCATTTTTGACACTAAGATCTATACTTGTAACATTATTTTTGTTACTGTGAAAATTAATTTTTTGGGATTTGTGCAATTTATTTTGAGTTCGTCACACATGGTTATATGATTCACTACGAAATTTTTCATGTATTATAACCGAATCACATCTTTAGTATCGATTTGATATCCAAGTTGACTCCTTTTCCCACAATAAAGATTGAAGCTTTATCAACCAAAACACCAAGAAATGTAAAGATTGAAGTTTTATCAGCTGAAACAGTGATCCTAGTACGAAATCGCGACTAAGTTGACTCCGTTCCCCAACAAAGATAGAAGCTTTATCAACCGAAACACCAAGAAATGTAAAAATTTAAGTTTTATCAGCTGAAACAATAATCCTAGATCGAAATCGCGACCAAGTTGACTCATTCCCACAACAAAGATTGAAGCTTTATCAACCGAAACACCAAGAAATGTAAATATTGAAGTTTTATCAGCTGAAACAGTAATCCTAGATCGAAATCGCGACCAAGTTGACTCATTCCCACAACAAAGATTGAAGCTTTATCAACCGAAACACCAAGAAATGTAAATATTGAAGTTTTATCAGCTGAAACAGTAATCCTAGATCGAAATCGCGACCAAGTTGACTCATTCCCACAACAAAGATTGAAGCTTTATCAACCGACCAAAAAATGTAAAAATTGAAGTTTTATCAGCTGAAACAGTAATCCTAGATCGAAATCGCGACAACAACTTATGTAATAAAGACTCAAAATCTAGAGCAAAAGCGTAGTCAATATGTTCATACATAAGATATGAACTTGATACGAACTTGTTATTTGGGCTATGTTTATCTTATGGGCCATTATTTCAAGAACCATTCTATTTGGGCCATCAAAATAAGAAAGTCTTTTACATTTAAACCAATTATGGGCCCAATGTCCTAAATCCTCAATCCATTATCATAAATTACGATCGCCTTCTTCGACTGTCTGTATGCATGCATTAAAATCTTGAAAAAATATATTAGGATTGGTTAATGTGTTCTTTAATGGCTACTTGGGCGAGAGTAGTACTAGGATGGGTGACCCCCTGGGAAGTCCTCGTGTTGCACCCCCACCCCACCTTTTTGTATTTAGCCCGCATGGGTGTAGCTCAACTGGTTCCGGAGGTGGTAAGTTGGTGCAAGGTCCTAGGATCGAATCCTGGCAGCCGCAGTGTGGGAATTTCAACTCCAATGAGGGTTGGTTCCTTGTGGGCACCAGGTCCGGGTCCGCTACCTTAACGGGCCGTTGAGTTACCATGATTTACATTCCTCCATCAATCCTTGTCGGGCCAAGGGATGGAGGCCCTGGGGGCGAGGGATTTCGCCTTTTGGTGCAAGGCTGGTAAATACTAAAGATTTAACGAATGTATTTCACGCGGTATAACATAGTATAAACTGCTTGGACAAATTTTATTGGGACAAAAGTTTATAGGATATGCTCTATACTTTTATTGCAGTAACACGTGTCGTTTGACGGGCCAAAAAAACAAAAATGCCAAAAGTATATTTACAAAATAAAAAATTAAAAAGAAAAAGAAAAAAGAAAAGAAAAAGGGAGGCGGCAAACGACAGTGGATTTCCACGAATAATTCAGATTTGTTCCGTGATAGGACCGATAAGTAGCTTGAAGAAAAAGCTCTTAATTAATTGTTTGCTTAAGTACTAATATCTCTAATTGCACCAGCCCAATTAGTATATAATTTCTTGGGTCACGAGCCCGATTAGAAGAACACGATTACGAAAGTCAATCACCTTCAAATAAATAGGGTCCAACAAATTAATCTCAACCCAATTAACAAGGTATAAATATGATTTAATCATTTATCAAACGTACGCCCTATTATCTGAACAATACTACAATTTTATTTTCTCAACTACTTCACTATCCACACGTCTGACTTGAGCGTCAGAGGGGTTTCTACCGGATCAATCCCGACTTAGTTCACGTCTTCTCTGTTCGCAAGTATCTCAGGACTATCTAGCTCGTGAGCAAGTGATCCACTTTGCTCTCCTAACTTATCTTACCTCACTTATTTAAGATGATTTATATATCGCATCAATGAATCCAATGTCTTAATCATGATCATTGAGATACTACACCAGGTAATAATTGATGTGGTTACACAATCACCACTATACAACTGGGTCTGTATGATTATGCCCAGATTAACAATTAATTATTTTCAAATAAACCCTTAATCATTGATTGAAAAGCAATATTAAATGAACCAAACATAAAAGTTTGCACTTTTAATTTGGAGAAATTGATTATAATGACCTCAATCCTTGTCACCCAATAATGGGAAACACGAATTAAAACCAATTACAAACAAAGTGGTTCCAAATGAAAGCAAAAGCACCAAACACTCCAAAGGG